ACCGCTTTGCGGCGAAGAACAGAGATATTTTACACCAGAGAACTAGACGCTCTTGGAGCGTGAAGTCGGACTAGCTATTTTTGAATGTATATGTAGAATATTATATTTTTTCACTTCTAATACATAGTGAAAGCAAGAATGCGTTAGCGTTTATTCACACGATACGATATTCTTTTTGACTACTCTCTGCAACGACTTCAAAACGATAGAAATCTAAATTTTGACCTAAAAGGTCATGTAATTAATACTTAGAGGGTTCCACTTAGAGACTAGATGTCTCTAAGTGATATCATATCTAATACGTTTTTAATTCAAATTGTTGGCCTCTCAGGCCATGAAAATAAGATGCCTATAAAATAATCAAAGTCACCTTTTTGTTATTGATAAACAAAGATTCTTCTTGTTCTAATTTGAAATCTTTGCCCAAACAAGACTGTCTAGCGCTAGAATTYAGTTCTGTAAGCATACTACTCGAAGCTCCATGCAATCCTCACATGCGCGTAATTCTGATGGCTAGACTGATGCATTCCGATGAGATCACAGATACCACATTTGTAAACGAATAGTTTTTTATCACATAAAAGCGCAAGTAGAATCTGACATTTAYWAAAGATATATTCGTACATYTATACGTTTGAGCTTCCGGTCATGTAATAACACAGCCAACCCAATAGTTAATTATTAAATTCTTAACTTCCGGTGGTCCAAACGCGACATGATAGATAGATTGACTAAAAGGTATAACTTAAGTCGACATAGCCTTCGGCTAGTCCGACTAATAAAGAGAAACCTCTGGAACCAGGATAGGAAACGCTTTGCCTGATTTCAAATCCCCTCTATAATGAAAGCGAAAGTGAAAGCAGCCACTTTTTGCTGTCCAACGACAATATCAATAATGAAATTTATATCTTACCTATGTACTGTGTGTACTTTATATCTTACCTATGTACTGTGTGTACTTTATANATCGATTTTGTAGCGGTACTTTTCAGTTAGATTGATTTGGTTCTCCAACGCAGGCAAAACAAACTTCAGGTATCCAAAGTAATAACCCCAAGCCAAACCATCGGCCAGGTTTTTGTTTTCTTTTTCGTTGACTTGAGAGTACTCCACGCGTGAAAGATTGCGCAATCCGAACAGGAACACAAATAAGGGAATAAAAATGGCGTTTAAGAAGAATAATCGTGTAAACTCGGCCTTGTATGAATACCACATGTCGTAGAAGGAAGCATAGGTTCCTAAGCCGAGTATAATTGCGATAACAGCAATGAGTTCTCTGTTCTGGAAGTCAAACGCCGCCTTTAAAGCCTTCTTCATGCTTCCTTCGTAGCGTGAGCGACAATGGAGAGCTTCTTCCCCAAACAAGCAAAGCCTTCGAGCCATTTCTCCGACCATGAAAGCAAGTAGAGAAAAACTAAAGGCGAATACGTAGAACGCAAAAACTTCGCGCTCGAGAGATCTTTCAGCTAGGAATATCGCTGCAACGAAGAGCAAAAGGATTGCAATCGCGACCCATATCGCCCCTGATCCTCTTTGTTTGTAAAACGGTCCAAAACCGTTGTTTTCTTCCTGCTGCATGTTGAAATGAAGTGGTAAATGTTCTTGCAAGCTTGTGATATCTGACTGGTTCAATCGACCAAAAGCGAAAACATCAACACACGTTGGGGGAATCCCCTACACGCGACACTCAAATTCTTTCACTTTCGAGTTTTGATTGACTCATCGTTGCTATTTCCGTACATATAACTGTACTTTCGATATAATTTTGAAACAAGAGTTATAAAATTAATGAAAATTTGAGTTCTAAGTGAAATACACGAGATCGATAATAGTCACGTGATTTTGAAAAATGAGCCCACAACTCACTTGGTCAGCTGTGATTTTACTCTCATCTTCGGTTGCTTTCAGTGATATATTTCCCGCACTTTCTCGATATGAGCAGAGATTCACCTATTTGTATCAGTGATAGCGATGATGATGAAGAAGAACATAAGGTTAAGCAAAGACCTGTAGTTATGGTGCTAACTGATGACGAAGAAACTCCGCAAAACAGCAGTCGTTCGGAAGTAAAGTTTGACAACCAAGTCGAACTGGCGAGCTCTTCTGTCAAAGTGAAACAAGAGGACGAAGAAAGCTCTGAGACTTCGGAAACTCTAACAAAATCACCTCAAAAGCCACTAACTCTTAATGCAAAGCGCCTGAAATGGCTGTCGGGGCAAATTAAGCTGGATAAGTTAAGCGCGAAGAATAACAAGAGAGAAAACCAAATGAAGGACGCCTCGTTGAACAGCACATCGGATGCAAAGTTGGGCATTGTCAAGGTACGCGTATTGTTTTACTTGTTATTGTAAATAACAACTTTATTGTATATATTAGACTTTTGTTTGGGTTTTGATTTGTGCTAAAAGTCCAAAATAGCTCATCTGTTCGATTTCTACAATATACAATTCAAACATCGACATGTGACTGGTACACTCATAGGCTACCCAACTATTGCTTGAGAGAAAGAAAAGAACGAATGCGCACGCTTTTACGCTAGTGTTATCGGCGCACGCTCTTAGCTAAATGCGGGTTACCTGTGGTATTACGTCAGTGATCCCTTACCTCGCGGGATCAAAAACTAGTCTGTGACAAGGTATGAAACACTGGTCACGTGACAAATATAATTTTGCTACTATTTCGCCGAAAAATAACAGAAAACGACGATTTTCTTTCAAATAACAATATATTGCCAGATTCCCTAACTGCCTCACGATTTTCAGTGTGAAATGTTTATTGCATGATGAGAAAATGAAAATTAAGCATTTTACTCGCCGTGGACTGATGTGTGCACCAGGTATCGTGTCCACCCCTCCCTACCTTTTTTCATTCGGGTAGACTTCGAGGCCTTTCGTAAACAGTCGAGATTTTCCGAGGGTCATCCGCTACCGTGCATTCGCTCGTGTCCGATTCGTGTCCTGAATTACTTGGTTGGTCTTACGCTGATTTTCAGTTTTTGATGGGAAGCTTTATGTCAATATCCTGAAACTTTGAGACTTCATGCAAAAGACGAGACAGTACATTGTGAGGAACAATTATTTTAAAAGCAAAGATCTTATTGAAGACTCCTGCTCATTTCAAAAACTCGAAAAATGGAGCAGAAAAGTTCATAACTTTAGTGGATTTTTACTTGAGTTTAAGCTTATAAGACTTAAATTTATGCCCATATGCAGTTAAAGCAAGCTTTCTTGAATGAGGGACTAGTTGAAACTAGAGATCTTTTCCTGATACTTTGAGAGGTATGTCAAGCACTTTAGTTTCTATGAAATCTATCGGCTTTTTTCTTGCAAACCACCGGCAGTTTTGAGAACTTTCCATTACATTTTATGAAACCTTTACGTTTCACCGCTTTATTTCGGATTATTTAGATAATGAATTTTGTTATGTAGAGATTTTTGATGTTTGAAAACCCGAAAATGCTTCGTTCGGTTGAATTGAGTCGTTTCAACTCAACCTAACCANTCAGTTAGATTGATTTGGTTCTCCAACGCAGGCAAAACAAACTTCAGGTATCCAAAGTAATAACCCCAAGCCAAACCATCGGCCAGGTTTTTGTTTTCTTTTTCGTTGACTTGAGAGTACTCCACGCGTGAAAGATTGCGCAATCCGAACAGGAACACAAATAAGGGAATAAAAATGGCGTTTAAGAAGAATAATCGTGTAAACTCGGCCTTGTATGAATACCACATGTCGTAGAAGGAAGCATAGGTTCCTAAGCCGAGTATAATTGCGATAACAGCAATGAGTTCTCTGTTCTGGAAGTCAAACGCCGCCTTTAAAGCCTTCTTCATGCTTCCTTCGTAGCGTGAGCGACAATGGAGAGCTTCTTCCCCAAACAAGCAAAGCCTTCGAGCCATTTCTCCGACCATGAAAGCAAGTAGAGAAAAACTAAAGGCGAATACGTAGAACGCAAAAACTTCGCGCTCGAGAGATCTTTCAGCTAGGAATATCGCTGCGACGAAGACCAAAAGGATTGCAATCGCGACCCATATCGCCCCTGATCCTCTTTGTCTGTAAAACGGTCCAAATCCGTTGTTTTCTTCCTGCTGCATGTTGAAATGAAGTGGTAAATGTTCTTGCAACCTTGTGATATTCGACTGTGCTACAATCGATGGGGGAATCCCCTACACGTTTCACTCAAATTCTTTCACTTTCGAGTTTTGATTGCCTTGATTGACTCATTTTTGCTATTTCCGTACAAATTACTGTGTTTTCGATATAATTTTGAAACCAATGTTGTAAAATTAATGAAAAATTTGAGTTGCGAAGTGAAATTACCTGAAATGCACGAGATCAATAATAGATCACGTGATTTTGAAAAATGAGCCCACAACTCACGTGGCCAGCTGTGATTCTTTCTCGACTCTCAACTTCGGTTGCTTTCAGCTACAGTGATATACGCTGTATTTCCCGCACTTTCTCGATATGAGCAGAGATTCACCTATTTGTATCAGTGATAGCGATGATGATGAAGAAGAACATAAGGTTAAGCAAAGACCTGTAGTTTTGGTGTTAACTGATGACGAAGAAACTCCGCAAAACAGCAGTTGTTCGCAAGTAAAGTTTGACAACCAAGTGGAGCTGGCGAGCTCTTCTGTCAAAGTGAAACAAGAGGACGAAGAAAGCTCTGAGACTTCGGTAACTCTGACAAAATCACCGAAAAAGCCACTAACTCTTAATGCAAAGCGTCTGAAATGGCTGTCGGGGCAAATTAAGCTGGATAAGTTAAGTGCGAAGGATAACACTAAGAGAGAAAACCAAATGCAAGTAAAGGACGCCTCGTCGAACAGCACTGCAAAGTTGAGCATTGTCAAGGTACATGTACGCGTATTATTTTACTTGTTATTATAAAAACCGACTTTGTTGTATATATAGACTTTTTTGGGGGCTTTTATTTGTGATAAAAGTCCACAAATATCACATCTGGTCGATTTCTACATTACAATATTCATAAACCAACATGTGACTGGTGCAGTAGGGTTGAATACCAGAACTTATCATCCAGACATCTCCAGATCCTATTAATATTTGTCTAGAGGTTTCTGGAAGGTTTTCAATTATTTTATCGGATAGGCACAATGTCTTGAAAATGTTTACATTCTAGTTTTATGTGATTATTACAAGACCTTTTAAAATGTTATTTTGATTGTTTTTCTTTTGTAATATGGTAATGTATATAGATCTACATTCAAATGATTATGAATGTTCAGTGGGTTATATGTACCTGTAGTCCTGTGATGTCAAAAGGTCACAGATGTAGATGAGTTGTCTGGTGAGCTACTATCAATTATTTTTGTTACAATACATCCTAACATCAAAATTCAACTTTTTGCAATAACTTTTTAACAACTTTTCTCGATTTCTGGTTGGTCTAGAGCCGGATTGCTCTTTTATTCTTGGATTGTTATCTATTTGTAACAAACTAATCACAGTTGGTGGTATCTCATCATCAAAATTACTGTTTATCCGCTCAACTTCATCAACAGCAATTTTTTTGATTTGTTGACGCCAAACATTTTTGAGGACATACACGAGAAACAAGTCATCCGCTTGTTTTAAATACAATTGGCATTGAATTATAAGACATTTATATCTATATATCTCTCTATTACAGTTCTTGAATTTGGTAATATTCTTGAGCAAATGCCAATAAACTTTTCAAAAAATTAGTTTCTTGCCAGTTTCTTGAAAACCTATATGAGTTTTATGCAAAATAGGCAAAAAAAGTCAACATTTGCATTTAGGAATTATATACGAAATAGAACATTTAGTTCTCATTCTGTCAAAACCTCCTCAATAGATAAACATAAGTTTTCTTAGGAATATGGTGTTCACAAAAGCATAAGTGAAGATAAACGAAGGAAATTATCCTTTTTAGTTTGCATTTTCCTACTCATTCCCTGATGATGCCGTAGATGGCGAAAGCTCGGATTCATAACTCAAAACATCTCGTTCCTAGCAGACAAGGCTACATTTGTCAAAACCCTCATAAGTGAAGAGTTGGGAACAAGGGGGGGAGGGATGAGGATGAACCACTTTCTATATTTTGATTGAATAACCATGTACTAAGGAATTGAAAACGAGGCTTAGGGCTAACGAAGGATAATTCTTTTGTTTTCCCTGAGTCTCGTCTTGAATTCTTCTCCCATGGTCATTCAAGAAGAATATTGAAAATGTGCTATTTCTTTTGAAGTCCCAGAACACATACTGTAACCAAACCATGTGGTCAATGCTTATCATACATGTATGGTGGAACCTACGTACTGTAAAACATGTCGAGGTTAGCTTTATGATTTGACCATAAACCAATAACTTTGGGTGGCAGATTACAGACATTCATTTGTCAGTCTTGATTTCATTTGTAGTACATATATTTAGTTAAGATTATATTACTACATAAAAATATAAATAATAATTGATCAATAAGCAAGCTTGGCAAATTTCATTGAAACTGATCAAAATAGTCTTTTAAGGTGGTTTTGACAGTTCAAGCTTTGGCTTTGCTTGACATTTGTGTCTGCTTGCTTGAAAGTCTTGATTTACAGATTCATCAAAAATGTTTAATTTTTCATTGTTTTTGCATTATCGATTGTTAATGAATTCATTTTGATCATAAGGATTTTCATGAAATTTTTTATGATAATTTTTGTAGCTAGCGCCTTGGAAGGGGGCTCAAGCTACTGTTCTATTCCTGGAAGTGCATGCTTGTAATTATCAAAATGCCAGTGTTTACATGAGCTGGTTATGGCTATGAAGTCAAGCATACATCATAAATATGTAAATTACTTGTAATAGAGTGCTGACACTATGTCCATGAAATAAAGCCATAAAATACATGTAGCTACTCACTATCATTCTAATGCAACAGCTTTTAAAGTAACAATAGCAAATACACAAAGGAAACCATGTTTTTTTATGTCTAACAATAATTGAATAAATGAAGGACAATGTAAAGTAATGGTCTGAGTAAGAAGCAGGGCAGCAATGGAATGCAAGAAGGTGCTAATTGTGTATTGTATAATCCATCCATCTCATTGGTTAAAACATTAAAATCCAACATACATGTAACTTCACATTTTCTAATATTTTGTTTAATAGTATCTATTCAATATTAATTCAGCAATTCTGTGTAGGGAACAAGCAAATTAGAAGCATCTTTGGTTATTGTTTTGAGTGCTTATGATTGGACAAGATCTTATTACAAAAGAAACTTTGTTTCAAAAGAGAGTTTATCCAAATTTTATTTTAAAAATGTGTTACAGTTGATACATTGTATATAATC